CCCACGCTGGAGCCGTCTGTGCCTGAGAAGCTGCACCCTGTGGGAGGGACCCACACTGGAGCAGTTCATGAAGAACTGCAGCCCGTGGAAGGGACCCAGGCTGGAGCAGTTCATGGAGGACTGTCTGCCGTGGGAGGGAGCCCAGGCTGGAGCAGGGGCAGAGGGTGAGGAGTCCTCCCCTGGGGAGGAAGGAGCGGCAGAGACAGCGTGTGGTGAGCTGACCCCAGTCCCCATTCCCTGTCCATCTACATTGATCAGGGAGAGGAGGTAGAGAATTTGGAGTAAAGTTAAGCCTGGGAAGAAGGGAGGAATGGGGGGAAGTGTTTTAAGAGTTGGGTTTATTCGTCATTACCCTACTCTGATTTGATTGGTAATAAATTAAGCTGATTTCCCTAAGTCAGGTCTGTTTTGTCCATAACAGTGAATGGTGAGTGATCTCTCCCTGCCCTTATCTAGACCCATGACCCTTTTGTTGTATTTTCCCTCCCCTGTCCAGCTGAGGAGGGGCGTGATGGAGCAGCTTTGGTGGGCACCTGGCATCCAGCCAGGGTCAACCCATCACAGACAGGTAGGTTATAAAAGATGCTTCTGTTTACTATGTAGTGTAATGTCTGAGCAAAAAAAAAAAAAAAAAACAAAACAAAAACCCCCAGTCTAGTATTAAGAGGCACATTTGGATGTGTGGGTTTTTTTGTTTGGTTTGGTTTTTTTTTAAGTATAATAATTAGCTTGGGGAACAAACTGCTAAAAGATTACACTGAAAGCAAAAATGTAGTCCATTCTCCTTAAAATGTATTACTTAAGTGAGTAAGACCAAATGCAGATAGGCAGGTATTTTAGAAAAGAAAGAAATGAACTCGTGTTTGAAGACAAGCTGCTCACCCGAGCTGTGGCATGACACCTCAACACCAGGCAGGCGCCCATCCGTCTCCTCTTCGCTCCAGAAGGCAGCAGAAGCTCTGACAGCGGGAGCACGGAGACTGGTCCTGTTGCCCTCTGCTTGCTGCTGCCCCCCGAGGTGTGCTTGGGGCCCTTGGCCCTGTCTGATGTGCTGCAGCTCCTCCTAACCACGAGTTTTGAGTTTGTCAGTGCTGTTTAGAGTCGGATTCGCAAACCTGAGCGCTCCTCAAGAAATGACGGAGATCCTGGGCTGAAGGCTCTAGGTTCAGGCTCAGAGAAACATTGCCATGGCTAAGCTCAACACGGGGGCTGGAAGAAGGCCGGAGGCAGCCACCACAGTTACAACCCGGTGAGCTGACCAGTTGCAACGCTCCAGATCAGAAAAGGAACGTAACAAGAAAGAGAATTGGAGAATACAGGAGGAAGAATGTCGGAAAAAGAACTGAACTGCTGGCGGAACGCTTATTCAGGGAGACGGAGACTCAGGGCTGTGGGAGCGCAGGTTTGGTTTGTAACTGTTGCTACCAGATAAAATCCTGCAGCAAACCATGCCAGAGGCCCCGGGGACTGAAGAGCTGGTGGGTTGCACAGCCTGGAAGAAGTGTTGCTGTCTGCTCGCTGGGGACCGAGGTCTCCGGCTTTGGCTCTAGCCCTAAAAGAGCGTCAAGAGCAACAACTTTAATTGTTACTGCCACCTGGAATGCTTGGAGCAGTGGCTTATTAATGATGCTATTCATTTTCACAGTGCTTTTACCTATTTTTATCTATTTGTGTCTATGTTGCCACACGGCAGGCCTCCATAGCAGCAGTAAATATATTCAACTGGTTTATTTAAAGAAGTTTAAATGCTTCACATCACCATTTTCCCCTTGCTGCTCGATAAATAAATACATAGGCTTCAGCGTTGCGTTTCCCTTGGACTGCATTTTTGCCAGTTCATCACAGGCAAACATGATTTTATTTTTTATGGTTTATATTATTTGGTTTGCTTGTCAATAGTCTGACATCAAAATATATCGAACCAGCTAGGAGGGCAAGGAAGCAAAACAACGCGGCTTTGTCTCTGCTAAACCGATTACAATTGACAATCCAAGGCTGTAATAAATACATCTTGTGACTTGCACACTAGAGGAGAGCCTGAATTTAAATTATAGCTTTGGGTTTTGAAATGCTCACTGATCCATTCCATTCCCATTAAGAGAGCCTTCCGCTCAGCAAAATTAAGTGGTATCTTTACATGACAGTTTAATTTAATTAATTTATTTTTCAATACGTACATTTATTGAGTTTCTCCATTAAGCTTTTGAAATGTCTGTAGGTCCTATGCATTAATGTAAATGCGCCGTGGCCCATAATTACCTTTGGCAGGCTCAGGGCACTGATAAAAAGATTATATTTTTAAAAACTAAAGTCTTCAAACTTCCCCAGTGCTTGGCAGGAAATCTGTTCCTGTGTTTTATTTGGAGCGGGACTGGGGAGCCTGCAGCCAACAGCTCCAGTGTAGGCAGTAACCGCTACATTTTAGCAGAAAATATGTTTGACACTAAATGAGAGGAGGGGAGAGGAAGACAATTAGTGCGGGAGTACTAGGAGCAGCTGTTTATTTGTTTTGCCTTGTGGCTGCCAATATATACTCTTATCAGTAAAGTGCATCTAGAACCGGGGTATTTTCTGTGAAATTATTTTGCCAAACGTGGGTCTTTGTCTTTTTAAGGGGCTGCCCCAAAGTGCGTTTATCTTCCTTTTTCACAATAGCTCTGCACTAGCCAAGAATGCCGGATTCTCCCCTTGCTGCCTCCTCCCTCCTTTCTAAAAATGAACTTTTCAAGGAAATAAGGAATTCAGAGAAGTTTGAAGGAGAGCAGATGGCCAGCAGTGATCCAATAGGATGTAAAACTTCAGTTAGGTAGTCACTTGGCAGGCAAGTACAAGCGAGCCCGTGATGTTTCCATAGTGATGTTTTCACATGGTGCCTTCCTTTTGTCTTTTAAAAAATCCAAGTGATTAAAAAAAAAGGCGGGGGGGGGGGGGGGGGGAATTAACTCTGCCCTTCCCAGGGGCAGCGACCGGGGCTCGTCCCTGATGCAGAGCGATGCACCGACCCCAGAGCTACGGTCGCGCTGGCCAGCCTCAGCTGCTGTGGCACTTGGGGGAGGGCGCCTGCCTTGCTGGGTACAGCAGGGACAGCTTCTGAAATTAAGAAGTGACTCAGATTGCGGTGCTCTTGGAGGGGAAATGGCCCGGCCACTGAACGTTGTTGTGTCAGGATTTCACATTTACGTACGGGGGAAGGTTCGTCATGGCACTTTGCTAACCTTCAGAGCTTTCCCTGTGTGCACAGAGGCAGCGTAATAAAAATTGATGCTCCCCATGACTTCAATTCCAACTTTCTCTTTTGAAGTCTGGGAGGTAGCCATTACAGTCGCATTAATTTGTGAGGATAAAAACAACTGCCATTATCTGTGCAGCTGTATCATGCAAGAGAAACAAGATTGGTAGGGAGAGGCAGTATCTTTTATTAAGCCAAATGAAACAGTCAGAAAAAAACAGGCAAGCTTTTCAACAACCAGCCGTAGCAACACCGAGTTCAAAAGCTGACCAGCTTTTTCCACACACCTAATGGAAGCAAACCGAACATAAGTAAGGACATGTTTGCATATACCATCTCCCTGCAAACCTTGCTTTTCTTGACAAAAAAAAAGCTTGACAAATCTGAGCAGGAAAAGAGGCTGTGGGAGACTGGACTCGTGGTAAACTCTGCTCCTAACTCCCCGGCAGCCCCCCCTCTGCCGCCTCTGCACAGACATGTCGGCGCGCGTGGCAGCACTTTGTGAGGACCCAGCGCGATTTTCCCTGCCCCAGTGCCTCCCACCGAGGTGCTGAACGCGGCAGGTCCTCCACGGAGCCCCTCGCCCTCGAGCAGGGAGGCTCTCCTGTGGAGAAGCAGCTTACTAGTGGGAGTGCTGGGGGACAGAGGGAGAGTAGTTCCCATTACCTGTGGTTTACTGATGGCAGCATGAACTCCCCTGAATGCCCTGGTACAAGCGAATGAAGTCAGTTTAGCCTGGGAACAAAATTTCCCAGCTGCCCTCCTGTGCTCTGGCCTCACCCGCACCCTCAGAGCTCCCTGGCAAAGAAAGCCTGTGCTTGCATAGCGGCCAGCCTGTTATTACTAAACCTGACCCTGGAGACAGCAAATACTTGATTTTTTAAAGAAATTAATATTCTTACCCAGTGCAACTTCTTTCCAGTCATGCTGTGCAGCACTTGTACTGGCAGCACCAGCCTGAATGAATCATTCCAGACTATACCTGCTTAGTGCACTTTTTAATATTTAAATGTGTTTATCCCGTCAGGGAGCTCCATCAGGATACTTGAGCTGCCAGTGACACTGGGGAAGGCTGAAAGCCCTGCGCCATGGTCGCAACAAAACCTTGATTACTTACAGCGTAGGGCACTGCAGCAGCATTTCCACCACAGGGAAGAGCTGGCAAACTTTGGTGCGGGCAGCGGCAGCTCGAGGAGGTTCAACCTGTGGATTTAGAGAGAGCTGGCAGCGCTGCGGTGCCACAGAGGGCAGTGAGGGAATGGCATCTCGGTGGGCTGGAGCTGGGCCAAGTGAAGCGGCTCAGACTCGTCGTCCCTTTCCCATCTTTACCTTAACCCTGGCTGTTTCCTCAGCGCTCACTCACTTCACCGTGCTGTACTGAAAGCTTATTCAGTGCGTTCCTGCAGGTCTTGGTCAAGGCAGGGTGAGACTTTAGTCCCCCTTTATACCCTG